GGGGGGGGGGGAAGGGCGAGCAGAAGGCGCCGGCGCTCGAACGAACATGGAGTTGCGAAAGTGACGATACGTGATCTTGTATCGTGCCAGCCAGCAGGCCGCTCCGATAAGAGGAGGAGGGGAGCTTGCATTGTAGGAAGGGGCTCGGCGAAAATGAGAGGGGCAAGGGGGTATGTTCGAAATAGCGCGCGCTCAGTCGCACGAGGACGCTGAAACAGGGCAAAACTTCTCTGGCCGACTCTCGGGAGAACGCAGAGCTGGAAAGAAAGGGTATCTAAAGGGAAAATGGGGTGGGGTAGCCACGCGTCCCGCTGTGTGGATGGGACTGTGTGATAAATCTGCAAAGTCGCTCGCGTCCAAACCAACGGGCAGCTCTGCGGGGATTATCATTCTCCCTCTGCCTCGCCTTGTCTCTCCACACCCCAACCCCTGCCCATACTCTGGGAGCAAATATGAACTGCTCGCTCACGGATTGATGGAACCAGGTTTTCTCATATCACTAGACATCCCAATCGTCTCCTTTCTTACGCATCCGAGTACCACGCAACACCAGTATGACCTCGCTGTACGCGACGAAACCAAGCTTCACTTGAGCCCATAATTATAGCACTGCCGTGCTTTTCGTCTCTCTTCCTCTCCCTCTCTCTACCTCCCTCTCTCTCTCTCGAGTGCTTGTTCATGCTCTCTGTTGCGTTACCATTCGGGTCTGGGCTAGAGGGCCCCCACCCGCTTCCAACCCTCTCCCGTGGCCCCTTGCCTGGCCCCCGGTATGTAGAGCGGATGGGCCACCGCATACGTGTGCATTACACACCTACTACTTGGTCGGTTGGGGGCTCTGCGCTACGCTATGCCCCGCCCCCAGCGGTGTTGATTACACGGGCAGCAAGCACAGGGCGCGTCGTCCATGAATTTTAACCGAAAAGCACTTCCGGCCCTCATGTCCAAACGTGTCCGGCATGCGCGGTAGCAGCAGAGCGGGCTCATGAAGAGGTTGAGGTGCAGCTGGTGGGGAGGTCGCCTGCTGCCGAATCCTTGATCGTGCTTTAACTTATTTGCGGTGGAGAGGCAAAGGTGATTAACGGTACCTACCTGTGCACTTTTGTGACTTTTCTAAAGCGCTGCAGGCATCGTTTTGTTTCGCGGAGTTTTCTCCTTTTTTTTTTTGCTGTTAGTATCCTGCTGTTTTCCGCAGGTGAGTCGTTGACGACCCCCTTCCCGCCCCGCTCCCCCGCCTCTCGGCCTGAGCGCCACGCTCGGCTGCCCCTGAGCGACTAGTCACACCGCGCTGCCGTTGCCATGGCGACGGGATGCCCTGTGCCACGCCGCGCCACCGCTGGACGCGGCGCCGCCGGAGAGGCTCGTGGCGTCGTTGCGCAACCCGCGGCTTCGTCTTAGCCGACTTAGCCGTGTCGTGCTCCGACCGAGGACTCCCTCTGTGTGTGTCTGACTGATTGTCTACCGCTCGCGGACTGGTCACTCTCACGTGCCCTGTGTCTCGGGCGCTTTTTCCGTACCACTTTGACGGGCACTTCCACTTCCGTCCCACGAAACAGTTCGCGGTCATCAGGAGCAAAGCATGGCTCTTGCATCCAACCAGAATCGTATACATTGCGTGACGTGCACTCATATTACAGATGTGTAATATATTCATTATGCTTCACTATGGTGTGCTCGATGCCAAATGCTCGAGCACTTTGCTGCTCACGATGCGCGCTGATGAGTAAGAACCGTAGGACCTGTTGCCCTCTCTCCGTTTCACTGCCTTCATCTTTGCTGTACCTTCTCCTCTCTCCCTCTCTCAGTCTCACCCTTCCTTTCCCTCCCTCTCGCTCCTGCTATTCGGCTGTCGTGGGACAGACTGTACCCCCCGAGGACACGGAAAAAAATACGTTAGCTGTGACAGCTAATGCGTTGGCTGCGTGGGCACTAACTAAAACATTTGTTGAATGAACTGACGAGCGTTGCTTCAGGTAGCTGATGAGAAGAAAAACGATACCTCCACTATTGCAAGTTACTACATTAGCTGTCTTAGCTTATGTTCAGTAAGCTGTCAGAAACACATATCCGTAGTTGCAGTATACATTTTACATCTCTGTACTACCAATGGTATTAAGTCCCTTAGCTTTGCTATGAAACTACTGCAGATAACTCGCTAAACTTGATCAACAAAGTCAGTAAGTAATGACAGTGGATACAGTGAGTTCACTGTAACAATGCCATTTAGATCTCTATTCCAGTATTTTGTTTGGCTTTTTAATATAGGTGAGAAAGGAAAATTCATGGGTACTTGAGATTGAAATATATAATTCAAGACATACTCACAAAATGAGATTTGCTTTACAAAACTTATTTATAATAATTCATTAAATAATAAAACATATCAATGTTTATAACATTTGAATAATCATGTTTACAAACAATAACACTTATTTTAACAGGAAAGGTTTTAAATCTACATAAAGACAAGAAAACATTACAAGTTATAACGTAGAGTGACATACTTTTTACCCAAAATGGAACGATGCACACTCAATGGCAATGGATCATGCAGTGTTAGAGGCGAAGTGCTTGACAATGTGTCAGAAAAGTCAACTTCATAGGCATCAACATGATCATCTAGGCCGAGACACAATACAGAGGAATATACAAAAACAGGTATGGGGGAATGGAGAATTGATTCAAGTTTTCCAAAGACAGGCCCTCCACTCTCATCCACATTCACGACCAACACCATACCAGGTTGATACTTTGTCCCCTTAAACTCAACCCAATTGGAAGCTAGACAAGATGATGTGAATGTCAAATTAAGATCCCTTGGCAAATGCCGTGCAAATTCAGGGTTTGAGAAATCAGACAGATTAATTTCAAACAGAGGACCATACTCAATTTCTGGTAAGATTGAAGTTTTAGATTTAAAAGCATGAAACATGTTGAGTTGATGTTGAACAGCAATTGTTAAACATATGTTTCTACGGGACTCTGTGGCACGGGCAGGAGCCAGAATTTTTCTGTGTTTGCTTTCAAACTTAGCAGTAGAAATTAGAGCGACCGGGCCACTCTCTTCAAGTATTCTGGGATAGTGGACCAGATTGTGGAATTTTGGCCTAAGCCCATGGCCTGTAACACTCATGTACAAGTCATTAAATTCCTGCACAGACACACGAAGGGCAATCACTTCTGATGAATTGAAAGCTTTAGACATGCAAATATCCATTAGTTTACGAAGTTTTAAGTACAGACACCAATGCGGGTCATCGTGCGGTACCTTATCACCTATGAGAAGTCCAAACATTTTCACAAACATATAGGTCTCAGACCCTGACATTTTCAATTTCTTTTTCTTTGCAAATTCTAAGGATAACACAGGGATTCGGTTAGAGTCACAAGTTCCATATTCAAACATTTCAATTCTGTGATTTAAAAGTTCAACAGTGAATAACTGTGGAACGCAACGTTTAAGCACATCCATCATTACATAATGGGCTACGCCCTCCCCCAGGTCATGAAAGCTGTCAACACTGAAATTTGATGTTATGTGGAATGATGGAATTTGATTAAAAACACAATCTGATTTCACTCCAGTTAATGTAACATCATCTGTTGCAAGGTCAGCATTGTATGACTCTTTTGACCGTAACAAGTGAGGATTTTCAATTGTCTGTGAAGCTGTATCATCCTTGTGAGTTTTACAAAATCTGCAGAAATAGTTAGCGCTAAAAGATTCAGCAAATCCACCAACTGAATTAACGCCAAGATTATCCCCTAAGAGTAGACTGCAAATGAAATATACTCTTTTTATACCATCTGGAGTTTTCACTTCTATTCCATGTTCCTCAAGAAATTTGAGCTGTTCAATTAATGGCCCAAACACCTTCTTATCAGAAAAACATCTGTAGTCTGAGTTAAACAATAAAGCAAGAAAAATATTCTCAGCTGAAGTCTGACACTCTGGTGGAAGGCATCCAATTTGAACATAGGCACAACCTAGCTTGCAAGCATGAGCACCCAAAGGATTATTACACTGACACTCGTCATAATAGGCATGTAAAGGCAAAACAATATCGTCATCGGAAAACTTTTCACATTTCCTCTTCCAAAGATTACATTGAACAAAATTTTGCTTCAACTCTGGATTAGTTTCAAGTGACCTTAGATAGACAAGAATGTCATTCAAAGCATCAGGCACTTCTAAAAACTGTTTAAGAATGGACTGAAGCGGTACAAATTGCCCATATACCTTCTGTGTCTTTAAACAAGAATTTTTAACAACATCTAATTCTCCAATCTCATATGAGATAGGGGGTATAAAATCCCCACTGGCAGAATAGTACTTGAAACGATGATATTCGGAACATAGATGGGAAAAAGGATTCTCAACATCTTTAAATTGTTTGTCAAGCACAGACAGTTGATCAGAGTTTAATTCAAGGTTAGACACTATATTAGATTTCAATGAAGAAAGCAGACCATCACAAATAAGTGAAGTTACATCATTAATTAATTGCTGGACATACTGACGAGGAAGTTTAGGTTTACCATATAATTTACTAACAAACAAATCTGCCGCATCCCGTAATGATGTAGAATTTAAATTATGATGATGTCCTGCTACACTGGAAACTTCACTAGGGCAAGGAACTTGACTATCATAAGTGCTATCTGAACTATTAGCATTACAATTGAGGTCACTATTTACATCTTCCACAGCACCAGTAAACACATTGGTCGCAGGGGCAACAACAGCACTCTTCGAAACAGAACCACATTTCTTAAAATGTGTATTGAAGGTGTTAACATGTGAATAGCTACGCCCACACAATTTTGGACAAATGTATGCTTTAAAAGCATGCTTTGACTTATGATGCAATAAGTAGTCATTCACAGATGTTACTAAATGCTGACAAATAGGACACTTCATTTTGACTGAAACAAAGAATATTCTTTGAGACGAGCAGCCAATGTAGATTTCAATCCAGAATGCGGGCTCTTGTAATCGTCTTTAGTGGTGATGTTGAAAAGAGTTCTTTGAAGATAAATCCAAATGTGACGAGCCTCTGGAGGGTACTTTGCTCCCAAACCAAATGATAACTTGAAGGCTGCTTCTATTGCTTCAAATGGGCCATCAAACTCCCAACGTACATCATCAAGAACAATGAAGCACTGCCGTAGATTTGTGAGTGGCCCCACAAAAACAGGAATAGGCTGAAGTTGAAAATGATACTTGGCAAGCACAGTCTTCTTGAGGTTAATAGCTTCTTGAATTTCCGCAATTTCCTAGTAAAACAAAATCAGTTGAATTTAAAAAAAATTAGGGATTATAATAAATTAGATTAACTCCAGATAGTAAGAAACTTACCCGAACATGCAAAACCCATCCGCTAGCTATTTCAGGACGTGATGGTCGCCAGCATGGCTTGCTCTTTGGAGACTCCAGAGACTTTGGTATGGTTCTAATTTTCCACAAATTGGGCAGTTCCAGAATAATAAGCACAAACTGCTGCTCTGAAAAAAAAAAAAAAAAAAAAAACTTCAGACCTAATACTGTTTACAAAAATTAAGATTGAGCAGCAAAAAATATGTGGGGCATCTCAGTATATTAGGAATGTCATACACAGTCCAAAAGCTATGTTCAATATTTAAAACTACAAATTGAGTAAAGACCCAGTAACACTCCAAAATAACACTCAGCACACAGGGAACCAGGCTGTTGCCTTTAACAAGATATAAAGCAGCTTACCAGTTGAGAGGGATGCAAACTTGGGGCCTTTCAAAAAAGATGGCTTCTCATGCCTGATTATCTTGATTAGAAATTTTGAGTATGTGGACCACAGTTCTCTGAGTGAAACCTCCAAGTTCGGCTGTTCCACAACTCCATCCATAGCAACCTAGATGAAAAAAAAAAACAATACTAAATTAATAGAGCAGAACTTTTTGACAAATTAAAATTAAAGGTAAAACTGACAAATATCAACAAACAACATGGTGGCACCTACCAATTCCCACCCAAGATTCTCTTTAATAGCCGGAAACTTCTCAAAGTAAGAAAATAGTTGTTTATTCAAAGCTAGAAATCGGAGTCTCCTCAGCCTTGTCTCTTCCCACTTTGCTCGCACCTCAGTCCATGGGCTGGTGTTGTGGCATAGCCAAACAAATGAGGGATCTTGCAGATCATCACCAAGATCAGCTAGAAGAAACAAACATCAATTTAAAATAAAGATCACAAGACTGAATTATGGAGGAGTAGTTGATAAACTTACGGAGATTCCCATTCACACCAGCTTCTGCTTGAGGTTGAGGTACTTGAATTAGTTGAGAGGAAATAAGACCTCGGCGAAGAGAGTAGTATCTGTATCTTAGACGACCCTGTATAGTACTGGAATTTTCTTTTTGGACAACAGAATACCAAGTCTCCTGTAAACAAGAATTGAAAAATCAAGAACGTATCAAAATGCAAGCAATACCAATGTGAACTATTGATTCAGTGCAACTAACCTTATCTTCAGCTGGAAAGAGAGTGACTATTGCATCAGCAATTTTATCATAATCATCACGAGTAAACCTGGAATACCAAAAAAAAAAAAAACACATTCATCACAAGCTACAAAAATGGTTAAAGTTTAAATATAATACAAATAGTAATATGTAATCTTAAAACGTACTGCCTATTGAAGTCATCCTCCAGTTCTTTATAGAGCACTTGAGTGCACAGAACACTCCTTGAATATTCGTCCAAGTGCGAATTTGCTTCATAAAAGCTTAGAACAATGATACCAGGCATAGACTTTTTCAATGCTGTATGAAGGGACTGTAACAGAATTCAATGAAAAATAAAAATAACTGTTCACCTCAAGGAACACTGTTCTGTAACACAATATTGATCATGACCACTTACGTTCTTGTCTGGAGCATTCAGAACAAGCTGGAGTTGGACGTTATCCAGCTTGCGCTTCTTGGCCCTCCTCGCAGCCAATGACATGTCATCCTCATCTTCATCAGAAATAGAAGTGTCCTAAAAATACAAAAATAATAATTAGAAAACAAAGCTTTGCAATATTAGCACAGCAAAGAGTCACACCACCACACACACTCACCTCAGAATTTCCAGACTCTTTCAGTTGCTGCAGGTTGACCTCAAAGATGGAACGCGGCCCTTCCTTTGGGATATATTTCAAAATTTGGTCTTTGGTCAAAACCTTCAACGACTCGATGGTATAATCTTGAGCTGAAAAGTAGAGGTCGGTTCAGTAAAACAATATGAAGCATAACCTCTATTTCGTTAGAGCGAGTGTTCCTATCGCACGGCAAAACCAAGGATTCACCAACTAATCTCGCGGATGAGACAGCTCAAGCCAATGTTAAAATGCACGACTAAAGTAAGCAATAATGCTTATGACGAAGTTTTATCAATACCAAGTTCATTACACGAGATTGAGTCGAATTTTTAATCATGGGAGAACACTACACAAATCGCTTCACACATGATCAGAAGGCAACGAACCTCTTAACCTCACTTTCAGCTTTTAAAACTGTACCCTTTCATTAATTCAGAGTTCAAAGCGAGACTGAAGCGAGACTTCAGAAAAAGCTCCAATCACGATTAAAAACGAAAGAATATCCAGAACAATTACTTAAGAACAGTTACTAGTCAAAAACGCCGGTAGCCAAACAGGCAAGACAGAGATGCAAAACTTACCCACAAACGCCTCAACGTACGGAGGTGCCAAACCCCACTGCCGGAGAAGTGTCGCCATTTCATCGACCGATGACATTCTACTCTTTCAGTATTTACCGCTTTACACAAAAGATAATCTGAACGAGTAATCATTTTGATGTTGGAAGCTTACTTTATAAGAACGAGCAGATCGCGACGTCAGCCGTAGCCGAGTACAGCGCGCTCTACCGGAACTAAATCTTACGTTCTGGCTGCGAGTCACACAAGGCTGCCCCAGCCAAACACACTTTAGCGGCGATTACAAATGTGGTCGCGTAGGAGAGGCAAGAATATGTTGTCGGAGCTGTGTCGCACTTTTTTATAGGGTGTAAGCTGTAGAAAATCTCCCCAGTCAGCTAGTCGAGTCAATGTCAGGTTCGTTTCCACAGACAATATTCAATCAGCTGCTGTAGTACATGGGAATTAAAGTGCCGCAACTGACGCGTTTTCGATCCGACCACACGCATTAGTTGTTTTAGCTAACGCCGTTAGTTAGTGCCTAGACAGTTAACATATTAGCTATTGCAGCTAATGTTTAGCTGTCGCAACTGACGTATTTTTTTCCGTGTACTTGCAACAAATTAACCTTTTAGGGAACATTTTAATCGCAGAGCTGTTATAAATTGTCGTTCTCTCAATCGCACTATAACGTCAACTTTTTGGGTACAGGATTACCCTTTACCGTTTGGTGTTATAATAGTAAGTGGAAAATGAGCAGTTAGTGGGGTGGTTAATAAGTAAGTGGCAAAGGATTTTCGTAACCGTACTTTCTTGGATTTGTTTTCCGTTGGTTTGATTCTTGTTAGCTCGTCCGAGTATTTGTTAGACGAACGATAGCAAAGCCTATTACAGCTCTAGGGACCAAAATATTTTGTTGTTGGTTTCTCCGCTGAAGATAAGTTGTTTTTTTTTTAATACGCGAGTAACACAATCTTTACTTCATGAAACCGAAACCTTAATTACCAAACCCTGGTATTCCAAACGGCAGTTTTGGTTTCTCTGCTGTTTTCGGCTCCGTCTTGTAACCTGACTTTTCCACGTTCTCGACTAGTGACTGCGAAAGCATTTGGGGCACGTTTTTGTCTAGGATCGCAGGCGTGGTGTACGCCTGAGTACGCCTCACGTAACAGGCTTTGCAATATCTCGCGAATCGTGCGATGCGCCTGCCTTACGGACATCTAGTGAGTCTGACCTCGAACTCGAGTAAGGAAGGATGCCATATGTGTTCGATATGCCGGCGACCGGTTTGGCGGTGTCGTGCATTGTCGCCCTGAGTGCGCTTCCGGCTTGAAGGGTATGGGGTGGGGGTGGGCACTTAGCACTCGTCTCGTTTCATTCTGTCTCTCTTCCCTCCCCAAACCTATGTGTCCCTCTCTCACCCCTACCCCCCTCATTTACTTGCTCTTGCCACGCGCCGGTGTGGGAGGGGTCTTCGAACCTTTCCGCGGATGCAGCCAGAGGCTTGGCGCGGCTGACTGAGTGACTGATGAAGTAGTGAAGGGCCTCGAAGCGACGCGCCCAGCTTCACCGATGAATAGGAGCGCCTCACATCTCCACCCCCTCCTCCCTTGCTCCCCCTCTCCCCCCTTGCACCCGTGCAGTATGTCACACTCTCCCTCTTACTCTCGCAAATGCGTTTCAAACAACGGTTTTAAATGAACGGAGGTTGAGGGGGAGGGGGTGTACGATTCCAGACAAAGCTTTGATATGACATGTTGTTTCCCTCTCCTCCGTCACGTTGCCCAGAGTGGGTGAGCGGGATGGAGGGGGAGGAGCGAGTTCGAGAGAGAGGTGGTGCGAGCAGGGGGAAAGGGGCGTAGAGTGAGAGAGAGAGAGAGAGAGAGAGAGAGAGGGAGAGGGAGAGAGGGAGGGAGAGAGAGAG